AGACGATGAAACTGTCACCAACCCACCCACCTGCTTGCCTGATTGTTTGCCTGCCTGCCTACTAGTATGCCTACTTACTTACTTACAAACTTAGGTAAGTAGTATGCATTGTAATAACTAATTGGGAATCACGTGGTGAGATAAGGTGAGGATCAACCTTAAAGTTCTGAATTACCAGATTCTTAACAAATCAACCCACTGACTAATGATGCTGTAGAGAAAGGAGGACTTTTATTCAATCTGCACCCTTAAGCAAATCCAAGTGACTTACAGAGCAGGAGAGGATGGGACGATATATGATTGGGATACTGAGCACCTACGACAGATTACAAGTAGAAAAGAGGGAAATCCATTTATAGCATTTAATAGCGTGATTCTATGACATATATTCTGCTCGTTGTAATTTAACACAAAGACGGTGCACATAAACTTTCGTGAATAAATTCAGACTTCTCTTGCAGGACGCTCTCTGATCCCGCTCTATGGACAATTAACGTCTTCTCCTACTGCTTTCGGATTTAAAATCCTTCAGAGTCCCAGCTGTGTCAACGCATATGACAGCCCCTTGTTTGACAAAAAGAGAAGCCCTTATAGTAGTCGATCGACTCGCATAATTCCTTGGCATTATGTACTCTGCTGGGTGGTGATTGCAGGTGATGGAGAAGAACTACGAGCATGTGGATGTTTTTGTATTGTAACAGCTTAGAATACAGAATTTGGCAATCTAATGCATGGACTTACTTTGTTGATTGTTATCATAGTACTACTTACGAGCAAGAGTAGCAGGATTAGGGTTGGGAGCAGTGTGATTGCTGTAAAAGTTGGACATCATTTTCAACCCAACTGCATGGGATTGTGATTAGGTGAGATCAGAGCGCAGTGCCGTGGAGCGTAGTGTACTGTATAATTCTGAATAATTGCTTAGGTTTCGCATGTCAGGTAGAGTCAATTAACTCAGTCAAGGTATCGCATTCAGACAACGACGATGTATTACACTGCGTTTTGGCTTAAACTCCGTCTCCGTGAGGAGAGGCGTTCTATACATGTACAGACATGCGTGCCTCTGAATCAAACATGGAGGATCAATCTCGACTATTCTTCAACGGGATGCAGCAGATCATAAAACGGTGGATGCGAATCGGCTGAAACACCTTTAGATGCTCATCTCACAATCGGCATTTGTAGGCTATTCTGTAGGGTAAGGAAGAAGTAGAACCACGCCTTCATGAAGTCACGAGCGTTCTGTGCAAAGATTTGATTGTTGTTACCACAAGTAAGTGTCATCATGAACGAAGGTACATTGCAAGTATATTGGATGATCATCACACCATATAGACTTGTAAAAAATACTCATTTTAACGTCCCTGCTTCCTGCATCTCTTATCCGAATGAGCCTAATTGCAGGAAGAGCGAGTGGTGATGTGTTTGCTACAGATGATCTCAGACGATTGAGGGTAGGAAAGGCGATAGGCGGAGACCATCACAACACTCGTAGGTCACTTTCCTTAATTTTACCTTTTGCTTGCCCCCTTCTTTTGTCTTTCCTCCCAACTCCCTTTTCTTTATTCAAGCGTACCTTCACTCCCAGCTCTTCGAAAAAACCTTGCTAGTATTGTCTTGAAAGCTACGCATACATTCCCACTCGTTGACGTCTCGTACAATTTTTGCATTAACTTATAATTCAGCCACACTTCCTTTCCCCTTCCTTCCTAATTCATTTCCCTTCCTCTCTCCTTCCTTGTCATTCCTTCGTATCTACTTCCTATCCCATTCTTCTAGGCAACGAGGGTGTAACATTTGCTTGTTTACTTTTACAGAATCACCGCTATCTCGCCCATTTCCTCCGCCTGCATCTGCGTCTTTGATTTCCCCACTTGCACCACCAGGAGGCACAAACAGCATCCATTCTGATTCTACTCCCAATAATATAGTGTGCAAATGGACGAGAATGGCCTGCTGTAAGTGCGTGAGATATGACTGTCAATTTACCGTTCGGGTTAAGGCTTCGATGCTCCTACACTGCACCATAAGTCGGAAGATTTCCCATTTTCTGATTTATTCAAGCCAATATTGTGGGTGACAAAATTGGCACTCTACTATACGGTCAAATGAATGCTGCATTCCACTGTGGTGCCGCTTATGTGGTCTACCACAATGAAGAGTTGTCCTACAGACAGTGGGGTATGCAAATCTTAGTTTACATTTCTCTGCATGCAATGCAAAGCCTAATATATCCAGCGAAGCGTCAAATAGACATGTCGCCCATTGTTCAAATCTCGCTGTTGGATACACGAGTGTGAGTCGCTTCAATTTCCCATTCCGAGGAGTTAGGACACAAAACTTGAATACGAAGGACCATAAGTTAGCTACTGGAATGACGTCCACTTATGCAGTCGCTGTATGACCGCCAAACATGCAGATTGTTTCCAGTTTAAAATGCTTGAAGCATCTCGATTAATCTTTTCGTCATGGCAATTATTATTCCATTGAGAGGCTGCCTGTATATGATAAACGACATTCAGTGGAACAAAACGAGAATGTGAATCGCGACGAGGTCTTGCAGAGTGTAAGAAGTTAACTACGTGAAAGGAAACTTGTGGCGAGTTAAAACAGGGGCAAGTTCAGCATTAGCACACATCCAAGTGGTTGAGGAGAGATCCGTTTGTCGTATCTCCACCGTTCGCCCACCCATCTTGAATGCTTCCTTTCCACTCACTTCTATCTGCTCAGCTAGGACTTACAGGAGAGCTGACAATTTCGTTGTTAGTGTTGTTGCTGTTGCTGATGGTATAGCTATTGA